AGCAATTTACAAAATGTCTCCCAAATGTATCCCAAATGTATACCCACGTGGGGAGACATTTGGTAAAACGATTTCGCAAGGGTGTATCAACAATATTTTTTAAATTTAAAATAAATTTATTTTTATTTTTTTATTTTTTGAATTTGAAAATTTTTTTGCCTTTTATTTTCAGTATTTACATATTTCTTTTTCCATTTAGAAATTTAGCATTAATAACAAATTTTTAGAAGCACATTCCAGGTGACTGAAAATTAAATTAAAGTTCGACGGTCACCAAACAAAAAACCGTACACACAAAAGAATACCTGGTAGATTTGACTGCTTATTTACTATTTTTTGGAGTTCCAAGAGTCGCTCATAACAAAATTTAGTAAGAAGAATTATGACAGAATAGTTAGACTAACTGTAAAATGTGGTAATAAATTTATACTGTTTTTTACAGTAAATAAAGCATAAGAGTGTTCTCTTCGCACTCGTGGACTGATTCATAGTTAGATATTCTTACTGTATCGCACGTTACGATTTGTACACGGAAAGATAGATGTCCTTAAAGTTTTAAACGTTCAAAGCTAAGAAATTCTTTCTTTCCAACTTTTAAGTTAAAAACTTGTGGATTATAATACTCGAGGTCATCCTTCTTATATTCAGTCACATTAAATACTCCATTTAGTTGCAGTAACTAATTTTTTCAGCTTAATAGCGCACTTTAAACGTAAACAGTATATGATTTCAAATGACTCCACAATACTGTAGTAGTAAAAACAATGCTGTTGGAAATAGTCATTTTCGGAATTTGTGTATTAAAATTATCCACTTTTTTACTAGTTACAAAAAAATTAGACTTACTATTTTCATTTAACAAAAACAGCAGCTAAAAATTGTTAATTTTTATTCTTTTGTAGTAATTCATACTATTGCACTATTTCTAAGTCATTTATAATCATAACGTGTAGTAATAATTTTAAATACATAAAACTTAAATTTTGTAAAAACATTTTCAAGAGTTTCATTCCCACACAGCACCATCTCTTGCTGTAAGGTTACTGTACGCTTATTTGTATCTTTGTCAGGTTGGAGTGTAAAGTAACTGAAAACTTAAGATAAACTTAAAATATCTGAAATACAGTAAGCTTACATTGCAAGGTCATAGTAAACTTACATGGTAATTTCATGATAAGCAATCAAAATTTCAAAATTTCTCATCTATAATAAGTTTTAAAATATAATAAGCAAGGCGTAACTAATAAAAAGCAATATTAGAAAAATCTTAAAATTAAACAAATTGAAAACAAAGAACAAAGCTTTTTTGAATTAAAGAAAAATATTTAAAAACTTGCTGCAAGCTTGCAACAATCTTGCAAAAAATTTGTAGCAGTCATTAAGTAAACTTTCTTAATAAGCTTGCAGAAAGCTTGCGCAGTAAGCTTGGAGAAAACTGTTACTGTAAGCTTACAACAACCTTTTCAGGAAAGATTTTTATGTAGTGGTCATTTTGCTGCCTATGACAAGCTTACGCGAACTTTGTGCTGCAAGCTTGACAGGATTACACAGTAAGCTCAATATTACATGAAAATATTACCCAGCAATGTTCCCATAGGTTAGACATTATCAATGTTCAAGTATTATTATTGCCATGCAATATTGGCACAATATTAGGTTAAAATTTTATGCTATTTATAATTTTTATTGAGAATCTGTTTGTTGTACAGAACATAATACTAAAAACAAGAAATTAACATATATCTAAATAATATGAACATTAATTAAATAAACATTTTTTAGGATCAGAAAGAAGACTGCTTTGCAAACTTGAATACATCATGTGATGCAAATACGGATGTTATTTTCTCCCAAATTACAGATTGTTATAAAGAAAAAAGAAATAATGACATGGATAAAATTAATGAACATAGAGAAGCTTCTGTTTCTCCGATTTTAAATGATAATCTACAACTTATCTTCGATGGTCATTGCAATGTTATAAACGTTGTTGAAAATGAATATATTCTAGAGGAAAATTATCAGTTTGTTGACGGGAACGAGCTCACAGATCAGTCAGTTTTACAGAATTCAAGGGCTACAATTGCAGACCTTTTAACAATTGCAAACACACAAGATCATCAAATAGAAGATGATTTAGATTTATTTCAATATATGATGATATTGAAACAGTAAGGAATTTAGAACAGTCGTCTAGAGACATAAATGATTTGAGTTTTTCTATTTCACCACCAGAATTGAAAGATTCAGATTTTTTGGATGATTCAAATTGTAGTAAGTAAATTTGTAAATTATTTTTATTTAATTTCTTAAATTATTTAAAAAACATAAGTTGATATCAATAATCAAAACACTAATAATATTACTTTTATTTGCAGGGTTAGATATTAAAGATACCACATATGTACCAAACGAGTCAGATGACGATAATTCTGAAACAGATGTTGAGAACGATAAAACATCTGACGTTGATGTTTCTTTTAACCTTAATATATCTAGTTCGACAAATTTACCTGATACTAGTGCACCAGATGATGGTGAATTAATGGTTGAAAAGTCAAGGGGACCCAAAGGCTCAGGGAAATTAAATTTTTGTTATTACTGTAGAAGTTTACAATCGCAGATAGCTCGTCATTTGGAAAATAAACATGAAGAGAAAAAAGAAGTATAGGAATTTGTAGCTGTAATGAAGAAAAACCCACTGCGGAGAAAACTAATAGCTGGAATTAGGCTAAAAGGAAATTTTTTACATAACTCTGATTCGGCATTTAATACAAGCAAAATGTTAACAGATAGACGTCCGAAAAGTGAAAATAGGCTTGGAAGAGATTACGTACATTGTGTAAAATGTAAAATTTGTGTTTCCAGATTAAGTGCACGAAAGCACATCAGAAAATGTACTGGGAATAATTTTGCTAAAAACAAAAACATTTTTATAATGGGGCGTAAGATTGTTGGTAATATCCATCCAACAGCATCTACAAAATTAAGACAAATTATATTTCCAGTTCTCCGGGATGATGACATTGTGCGTGGTATGCGGTATGACTGGCTTGTAATTGCATACGGAAATAGAATGTGTTTAAAATATACATTCGAACATCAACATAATATGATACGGGCTCGCTTAAGGCTTGTCGGTCGTTTGATGTTTGCTATAAAAAAAAGAAAATCCAAAAATAAATGATTTAGCTTCTATATTCCAACCAGAGCATTGCGACGACGTTATTAAAGCTATTAAAAATGTATCAGGGTATGATGAAATATCAAGAACATTTCGAACTCCAGCTGTAGCTCTAAGTTTTGGAACACTGATAAAATGCATTGTCATGATGTTTAGAAATCATTATATTAAGAGTATAGATTTTCCAAATGCCGAGGCGAAAAGGCTAAAATTGGAAGAACATGATTATTTTACATGTTCTTTTGAAAATGACGTTCCAATAACAATTAATAAACCAGCAATGGAAAGTCTGCAAAGTATTAAAAGAAATAAAATAGTCAATTGAAGGAATTCAACGCAAGACATTAAAAAATTAGATGATTTTCTTCAAACAAAAATGAAAGCAGTTTACGAGAAACTAAAAGCAGATTTTGTACTATGCAGATCAATTAATTATGAATCTTGGATATTGTTAAGCAGTCTTGTCTTGATTTCAGTACAAGTTTTTAATCGACGACGATCAGTAGAGATGCAACGGATGAAGATTTGTGATTATCGAGTATATAAAAAAAATCTTCCCGCCCTCCGGGCGGACACATTCTTATCCGCACTTCCCGCGGAGGGCTCGCTTCGCTCGCAAGTTTCAGCGCGCCTCGGGGCGCGCGAAATATTGGTCGTCGCGCTCCGTGGATTGTTGCGCTCTTCGCGCGCAAATAGCTCGCTTCGCTCGCAGTCGTCCGCGGAGATTGTGCATTACTTGCGTTCTTGATCCTTTTTCCTATTATATGTTTTATAAAACTTTTTTTTCTTTTTCCTACTATATGTTTTATCAAACTTTTTTTCTTAAAGTTACTACGACTTTAAGGATAACATTCTCATCACCTATTTTTGTTTGCTGATGATTGTAAGATTTAGTACACTTTTAAGAAAATTTTTAGTCCTGCTAATTAAAAGTGTGAAATTATTCTTAATTACTTACTTTCTTCGCAGAAACATGGTTTGCTGAATTTTCGTCTACAATAGATTTACATGAAAAAATAACCTGAATTTTTAGAAAAGTTTCAGGCTAAACATTCAATAAAATGGGACATGTAAGCCTTTACACAATTAATTGTAATATTGCATAGTAAATAATACTACGAAGTTTGCATGTAAATCTTTAAATAATTTTTAGGAAGTATTCAGCATCGTGTTCGTCACCTTGTCATCTTCACAACTAAACACGTCAGTTACACTTCAACTCCAGCCAAAAAAATTTTATTTTTCTAATAAAGAAACCAATATTGTCTGAATATTGACAAAACATGTTGTGATATTTTGTTGCTGCAAAAGAAAATAATTTTAAAAAACGGTTAAAAGTGTTCTCTTTATTTTGTTGTAAACTACAGATTTTTAGAAAGGTTTTAACATTTCAGAAAATAAATAAAACTTTATAAAACAGTTAAGTTGGTATGGCCCAAAAACTTAAAAAAAAAATAAAATTATGAAAAAATGTTATAAAGAAAAGTTGTTTGTATTTTTCTAATATAAAATAATATAAAGTTAAAAATTTTGAAATTTGAAAAAATTGAGTTTTTAAAATTTTGAAACTACTGTAGTTTCTGTAGTTTTCAACAAAAATGGCTGGTTAACGAACTTAGCCTTCATTTTTATACCAACTTTAAGCGTGTTAAATTTAAAAACGATCAGATAAGATTTTCAAAAGTTATTGTGCCTACAAGATTTTGGTCTACAGACGGACATACATACAGACAGACGGACTCGCCGGACCATGTTTTTCGGGTTCAGGGGGCCCCAAAACGTAAAGATTTCATAAAATTAGCAAAAGTCAATTTTTGACCAAAACTAATACTTTCTCATGTGATGAGAATGTAATAGAAGTAAAAAACAATCCAGAAGCATTTTCTTTGCTAGCTGAAGAGCATCAGGAAATTGCTAAAACTTATGCTCATCTGATAATTCGCGGAAAACTGGGTAAAAACGTTCCAGTCTTATTAAATATGGAACAGGTGAAATATATCGAATTTCTTTTAAGCTTAAGAAAAGATGTTGGCATTGCTGATACTAATCCTTATGTTTTTGGGACCAAAGATACACGACCAAGTGAATTCAATTGTTTAGATGCATGTAAATGGATGCGTGAGTTTTTAAATCAATGTGGTGCCGAAAATCTATTCAGTTTAAGAGGCACAGAATTAAGAAAACATGTTGCTACTATGGGCACTATTCTTAATCTGGATGAGCAAAAAGTATTAGAATTGGCAAAATTCTTGGGACATAGAAAAGATATTCACAAGGAAATCTACAGACGACCTATTGAAAGCCAGGAAATTTTAACCATGTCTGAAGTACTAGAAGCAGCGCGAGGTGGAAGAAAAGGGGTTGACGATCCTCAGGCTTACAAAAATTTAAATATGTTTAACAATGTTATTAACAACGACATAAATGAAACTGTTGATTTCAATATTGAAAATTTATCAATTGATCATGATCATTCATATGACATAACTACTGAAGAAAAAAGTAAAACAGTCAATCAAATAGTTAATTGTGAGTGTACTTCTTTTTAATTTATAATTTATTGTAGAATGTTTCAAGAATTTAAAATATTTTTAAATATTAAAATTTATAAATTTTTGTAATATAAACTTTTTAATATAACTTAATATAAATTTAATTAATAATATAATTTTAATATAAATATAATTTATAATATAAATTTAATATAAATATAATTTATAACATAAATTTTATTTTAATATAACTTTTTAACAATTTATCTGCTAACTACATTTTAAATATTATTACTTATGCAATTCATTTTTACTTCTAGTATCACCGACCGATAATTTAGAAACTATTTCAAATAGGAAAAAAATGCGCTTTACAAAAGATCAGGATGAAAACCAAGTTTTAAAATTATTCAAAAAGATATAGATACATATCCAGTTTCACAAAATAGAACGAAACAACAGATCAAGGCGTTTCTAAGCAATATACAATCTGGAAAAACAAAATTATAAGAATATGAATTAACTGTTAAGTTAATGTTAAGTTCATATGTTAGTTCTCAACCAAAGTTATATGTATCTCAGTTGGTGTACAGCTCTGTAATGAACAGTATTGAAAACAAAAATTAATAAAAAATGAAAACCTTTACATTTGAATGTGTTATTTTGATACCTAAAAACATATATAATAATATTCAAAATATGTGACCTGGACAGTGAAAAGGGACCTTACGTGAGAAAACAGCAGTTAAAGTTTAACTTAGAAAAACCCTTGTAACTTTTTAAAATATGAATATTTTTTAATCAAGTTAGGCTTATTTTCTTCACCGTGGATCACAGTATCAAAATAAAAAACATACAAGTAATGAAATTTTTTTTTAAATAATTGTTTATATAAATTAATAACAAACTCCCCAAACATAGTAAAAATAATCTAAGTTTTCTAACTATTAACAATAAGTATAAATAAGTGACACATGTTTGTAAGGGTTTTCGAGGCCGTTGATTACGAATATGATGTTAAATTGACAATTTGACAGTTGACAGCTGTCAACTTCTCTAAAAAGTGATCGTTTTTTTGTAAAAAAGACAGTAATACGGTTTTTGAGGTCGCTGATTACGAATATGATATCAAATTTGAATTTTAACTGTTGACAGTTGTCAAAGAAACTGTCAACTTTTCTAAATAATAAAAAATTATCGTCTTCGTTATTTTAATTTGTATAATAACACAGAATCAGTTTTATCGTATTTTTACACTTGTTTCTTTTGACTTAAAATTTTTTTTTTAAACTTCTAATCAACTTATAACTTTTTGGTTTTCACCATCTTCAAGAGCGTTTCAAACCCTATCCGAATCAACAAAAAAGTAAAAAATGATTTTTTGACACGTAAGGTCCCTTTTCATAGACCAGGTCACATATAGAAAAGAATAAATAATACCACTCACTGCATATTTAAACATATCGTTGAAAATTTGAAAATATGTAATAAATTCATTATATCAGAAGAATATTAAATTAAAGAATATTAAATATAAAAAATATATTATTATATTTTTATAATTAATTTTTAAAACAATTATGAATTATATGTACTTATGTTTGTCTTTAAATTTAATATGAATCAAATTTACACATAATAAAATATCAATAAAAACAATAAAGAAATCTTAACTAATTGAATCAATTATTGTCGTGGAAGTGCACAATGTTTTTGGAAATTTATGGAATGAAAATTTCCATCATAAATTACCAGGTGGCAGTTCCACGACTGTCGTGGATGTGAACGATAGACAGCTTTCCTTTCCACGACTAGCGTGGATGTGGACAACTGTCGTGGAAGGGATCGATTCACTGTAAAATTGTTGTGGAAGAACTCGATTGATATATATATATATATATATATATAGTATTTAAAAGGAGGGATATTGTTATTTAATAGATTTCTTTCTTTTCTAATTTGTATTTATTTATTTATTTTAATCAATCATATTTCTTCCCCATATATTTTTTATACAAAAGGAGTTTAATTTTGGTGTACGGAACCCTCGATTTTGGTGCGAGTGTAACTCGCACTTGTCCGATTTTTTGTTTCTTTAATCGACTAAAGAGACAACTGTTCAAATTAACAACGTTTGTTATAATAATCACTTATTTAGAAACAAAAAATTTTTGTCAAAATAAATTTTTTATATAATTTTTTTATTTAAGAAGGAAACAATTAGAAGTACAAAAAATATTCATTTATATATATATACAGCATTAACGTAACTACTTTGATACCTATAATTTTCGAATTTCTATATTGTACATTGTATGAAAAATTGAATTTTTATCATTTTGTCGTATTCTTTAACAAATAAATTTTTCTGTTAATTAAAGTTTAATAATGGAATAGAATAGGTAATGTAATAAGCGAGTCATTTTTTTCATTTTGTATTATTTTCAATAAAATTTTAAGTTATATTTAGAAATCGAATTACTTGGAAGTTGTAAATTTGGGAGGGGAAAATAAAAACAACTCGTGGCTTATTATATTATTAAAAAAATGTTGGATAAATGGTTTAAAAGGATTAAAATGTAGGAATCGTAAAAGAGCGCCAGGCGCCGTGTATCCACACTGACGCTCATCATTAATTTCGGTGACCATCGTATTAAAAGTTAGTGAACGATGCATTTACTGTAAATATAGGCTCCGATCTGGTGATAACGTACTTTTTCTCTCTCTTTCTCTCTTTTGTTTTCTTTCTTGTGATGATCTAGCCGCTTTTATATGAAAATTCATCCTCAAACAAAATTAAACAGGAAATAGATTATTCTTCACACAAAGGTACAAACATCTCAATATTTTCGAATCGAAATTTTTTCCTATAACTTTACATTGAATTTCATATCCAAATTATTCTGTGTCACGCAACTACTGGAGCTGTAATTATAGAATAAAATCGATTATAAAAATTATTTTATGCTTTCATGTGGAAAATATTGGATTTAATTTTTGTTTTATAAATTTTTAATGATTCACAAAATAATTGTTTAAAAATTTTATGACTATAAAAAAAATTATTTCTTTCTTTATTTCTTACACGGAGAAAATTTGTTCCTTATATTTTACCGAATTTTTCAATAAAGTTGGGATATAGTGGCATAATCGTAATTTTTAATAATTTTTAAATTATTTTTTCAGTAACAATAATTAAAATTTAATGTGACATCTTTATTTCTTACAAGATAGTAGGAGAGAGGTACGCACGTTGATACGGGTTCTGTTTTTCAGTTATAATTTTTAACAAACAAAATTTAGCGAAAAATTCGAAATGTTTTCTTAAAAGTATTGTCCAGGGCTACAACATTGTCAAAGAAAGTTATTTTTTTTGACAAAAATGAAAAATTTATAGATGATTTTTTAAACATGTTATTCTTGACCCAAAAAAAAGTGGTACTCACGTTGAGACACCCATAGTAATTTATTTTAAATTGAAACAAAATAAATAATTACGTCAGATTCTAATTGTTTGTTGTTTATTTACTTGTTTTGATGGTCTTAGCGCAAAGAAAAAAATTAAAACATTAAAAGTTAACTTAAAAAAGATAATCAAAAAATAAAATTTTATTTTGCACAAAAATAATTAATCGAAATCTTTATATTCGCAATTTTTACAGGTGAAAAACAAGTAAAAAACTTAAAAATTGTGGATTCAAAACCAATTTTAATGACAGTACTATTTTCACACCGTGAGCGTTATAACCTGCGTACCACAGTGTGTCTCAACCTTGCCGTTATTTTTTTAAAGCTTTGAAATTATTTGTAGTTGTTAACGTATGTCTATATTTTCGTCGGAACATTAACGTAGAACCAAAATTGATATGTAAATGTTATCCGCACTTTTTTCTGCTACTAAAAAATACACTAAATACACTAAACAGAAATCCTGAAAAACACTTTTTTAACTAAAAAATTGATTTGCTGTAGTTCTACCGAAAAAAACAGGAGTTATCGCGCTTCTATTGAATAAAAAGTTTGGTATTAATGATACGACAGAATGACAATAAACTTTTTGGTATTTTCAGTTACACAGGTTATAATATCTTAGTGTCGCAACGTGCGTACCTCTCCCCTACTGTAAAAGTTCAAAAAAATTTAAACTGAACGTTTAATATAAATTAAATATATACCTCCTTGATGGGCACTAACTTTTCAGGAATAGTTCAGTAAAACTTTCTTGACTTGCCTAAAGTGTTAGTTTTCAGGAATAGTTCGGTAAAACTTCCTTGACTTGCCTAAAGTGTTAGTTTTCAGGAATAGTTCGGTAAAACTTCCTTGACTTGCCTAAAGTGTTAGTTTTCTGGAATTAAATACTTTATTTCAAGTGTCCCACAGTCAAATGAAAGACTTCCACACTAATAGTTGATTTTTTCAACTTTTGTATACTTAATTAATAATCATTTCATTATGAATTAAATTAAAATTCAATTTATTAATTATTTTAAACACTTACAGTGTCGCTCAAAAGGATTTGCCCACCCTACGCCATGCAAGGGCATTACAAAAAGTGTTGTATCTTCAATAATAATAAAGATAAAATCTTAATCAAATACTTATTTTAAACCTTAAGTATTTGACTTGAAATAATGCCAAAAAAAAATTTAAAAAAAACTTTTTTTTAATGTTTAATTGCTGAAAATAAAAAAAAAAATTTTAACTTTTTTTGAAAAATTTCAAATTGATACAATTTTTGAAGAAATCATCACATTTAAGGATTGTCACAGCTGTGGTGAGGGGCAAGGGGATTGTTCCCATTACTCCCATGTAAAATCTTGCATGTTTGCAACCTCAAAAAAAAATTTCAGTTTCATAATTTTAATCAAAAATCCTATATATTTATTTTATTTAAAGAAAAAAAAACATTCAAAAAAGATGTAAAAATTAATGATAAAATTTTTTCAAGACTAAAACATTAAAAAATGTATTTAATTCATTTTTTGAAAAAGTGCTAAAAACCATTACACAACATAGTCGACATATGGTTGGTACGACTGGAATATAGTATATTGTCAGAGGTTAACCTCAAATTTTTTAGTGTCGAGAACACGAAAATTACAATAAACAAATGTAAAATATAATTATGATGCAAAAGAAACATGAAAGTTATTAACTTATGTTTAAGGAATATTATTAATTTCAAATGTACAGATCAAATTTGTATTTTTTTGAGGTTGTGTGTTGTTGCGATGTTGCCACATTTTCATGTGTTTTTGTGTTTGATACTTATACAATTATTACTGTTCTGAAAACTAAAACTTTAATAATTATTTATTCATTAAATTTGTGGTAAACTTTTTCTAAAATCTTCCAGTTTAAACTTTTTGACATTGTCTATCCATATACAAAACCACAGATTTTTCTCTCATTTCCTTCACACTTTTTTTCTAAGATTTATCTGAGCTCCCATAAGAGCCTATGTTAAATTGCAAATTTATTTTATTTTTTTAAGAAAAAACTACGTGGTAAAAAATTATGAAAAAAATCATATGTTTCTAAAATAATATAAAGATTAAACTGTCAAATTTTTATAATTTTCTCTCA